ATCCACCTGGCCATGCCGGGCTCAGAAAAAGTAAGAGAAAATTAAGAGTTTCTGTAAACAAACAACAAAAAGAACCTAAAACATTACAAATTTACTACGACAAAAATTTTTGTAAGTGCCGTACCGGCTTGCTACTTAAGAAAGAAGTATTAGAAGGGCTCGAATGGGAAGATATTCGTACAATTAATATATAAGTTTGGAAACTCAAACACTTTAACTTTATACCTCATAACTAGTAAAGCTGATTGAAGTTTTCGATTTACAAAAAAGAAATCAGTAACTTACTTGAATCTGTTCTGAAGCAGTTAGAGATTTTCTGTTCGATTGCCCTGAAAACATACACGTGTAAAATTATTTCAATTGTAAATAGGATTGAATGGTTAATTAATTTTTTTTTCTGCATTAGTACCAGCGGGTTTCCATGATTATCATACTCAGGTATGTATTTTAAAATAAAAAATAACATCGTATGGAAAAACGAAGGTGTTGTATTGAAATATCTAGCCAAATGCTTTGTCAGGTCTCACGTGTGGTCTAGTGTTCTTGTCTGTAGACTTTTATATATGGTCAAGTGTTCTGTCAGCTCTCGTGCGTGGTCAAGTTTTCTGGTAAGTTAAAGCAAAAGAACGACGCTCTTAGAAGGTTACTGTTAAAATATCTCGCCCTAAGCCCTATCATATTTATGTACAGGGTGTCCGAAAAGTTTGGAACCATAGGCCCTTCAAATAATTTTACTGTCCGAAAAGTTTGGAACCATAGGCCCTTCAAATAATTTTACTGTCCGAAAAGTTTGGAACCATAGGCCCTTCAAATAATTTTACTGTCCGAAAAGTTTGGAACCAAAGGCCCTTCAAATAATTTTACTGAATGTGTTCCACATGATAACAAGTTTGGATTAACAGTAGGATTAACTCGACTTTCTCGTGCTTTGACAGCACCATAATCAGTTGCGTATCTGAAATTTAGAAAAGCTGAAACCACTGATGGTTACAGATTTTTCGGACACCGTGTACATTTTTATGATTGTTATAAACCATAATTACACTAAATATTAACACAAAACTCAACGGCATGGCCAGGTGGGCAGTCTTCGGGTCGCGGGTTCGAATCTCCATCCCACCAAATATGCTCGCCCTTTCAGCCTTGGGGGCGTTATAATGTGACGGTCAATCCCACTATTCGTTGGTAAAAGAGTAGCCCAAGAGATGGCGGTGGGTGGTGATGATGACTAGTTGGATTCCCTCTAGTCTTACACTGCTAAATTAGGGACGGCTAGCGCCGATAGCCCTCGTGTAGCTTTGCGCGAAATTCAAAAAATAAACAAACAAACAAGTTCGTAGAGATATCACGCTAGCAACTTGTAGGCATAGTAGAGGGCGTACTGCCGATGTTCCATGATCGATCTAAAATCTCAGAAATAAGTTGAGTGATAGACAGGCAGAGATCTGTTTTAAATTTCATTGAGGGTAGTGTAATAAATTTAATGAATTAGACTATATAAGCAATAAAAAGGAAGTTAAGGTTTTATGTCTCACCATCCTTCCCGCGATTATAATAAGACGTCACGCCAAACATACACAGGTTATGTGGTAAGTTTGGAAGCTTATAACGCTAAAAAAAAAAAACGGGTTTCGATAACTGTGGTGGGCACAATACAGATAGCCCATTGTATAGCTTTGTCCTTAACAACAAAGAAACATGCCAAACGTTTTTAATAAACCTTTTAAATGTTATAAGAGAAGTGACGATAATGGGCAACAAATGAATCAATAATAGAAATAATATAGAGTTAAAACATATTTTTTGTGTTGTAATACCAGCTCGGGCCATCTCTACGAACTTCTGAACATAGTTTAAGAGCATTTTCTAGGTTAGTTTACCCACGTCGATATTAGTCAGGAGGTCAAACTCTCAAGCATGAAAAACTTGCAGACTCTAAAGTAAAAAAAAAAGGGGGGTTATATTTAAGAAATCGAACTTTCAGAAACCTGATGTTGCATCTCTTGATTCTCTCTTCTAACAACAAAATTATTGTGTACCCCCCCCCTCTCCCCATGGTCCTACAATTAGCGTATTTTGCGCAGTCTAACATAGCCAATATGGAGGTGACTCCCCTTAGAAAGGTTATCTGTATGGAGATACAGACTTGTACAGTGAAGCGAACGTATGATAAATTGATACTTTTCCCTATATAAATAGTTACCATGGGCTGCTATTGGTATTTACTGGGATGCCTTTTTGCACCCACCAGTATGGCGTAATGGTTCATTATCTTTTGGTAACTTCTTATTAAATAGAGACAGGTGGATCATTATTATTAATATATAGTTCAAATATACATCAGTTTATGGAAATATGTAGGTTTGCACAATTTTGTCTCAGTTTTAGTGCTGGGAATGCGAAACAAAACGTACAATCGGAGCAAAAATTTAAATTTTCCCAAATTGTAAACTTCATTATACGTGAATAAACGGTCGGTAAGTAGAGTTAAGGTTGTTAAATCTTCCCTAAGATACAGCTGGCGTGTAAAAACACACAGTTTTGAATCATTCATTTTTTCACATATTTAATAAGATCTGTAATGTTATTTTTAAGAATTGAGACAAAGTAAACGATTCATATCTATATTGAGAGATCGAGTAGTAGGTGGATAGGTGTTAAAACCTCAGAGCAATGATATCCTTTCCTAACCTTTGGAGATCAGAAATATTCTGGTTGATACCGAGTTGAACTACGAACATGTTAAGGTATAAATTGTTTGTTCGTTTGTTTGTTTTTTGAATTTCGCACAAAGCTACACGAGG